GTAAATGAACATACTTTCCAGAAGACCAACAATTCACTAAAAATGTTTTTATTGGTCTTATGAAGTATTCTAATTTGTTGAGATAGTGAATTGGTGGGTTTTTGTTAAATGTGAGCCAAAATCATCACAATTAAAAGAACCAAAGACTTAAACTACTTCAGTCTGTGTGCATTGAATTTATTTAATACAGGAGTTTCACAATTTGAGTTGAATTACTGAAATAAATGAACTTTTCCACGACATTCTAATTTATTGAGATGCACCTGTATACATTTTCTGCCTCCTTATCTTGAATTATGTGATAATTCTTAATGCATATTAATAGACTGAATCATGCAGTGAAAGATCACACTCTAAAAGCGCACGCGCACTAAATCCTGTGTTGGTCTAACCAGACTTCATCTCGTCGCGTATGCGTGCCTCTATAGCTTTTGCAATATACTCGATAATGTCATGATGTCTCACGAGTTCAGTATTTGCGCTAAACCTGCGCAGATTTGGCCTGCATGAACTTCCCCAAGAAATTAATGAGTGAACATAATTTACGAAAAGTAACCCGCCAAATTGGCTAGTGATTTGACAGCGTTACCTGCCACAGCTGATTTTTACCCGCATTTGGAGGGTGTTAATTTCAAACTCTGATTTCTTTTTATCAGGGTTGAAATGCTGCTTCATATTTTTGTGGATTTCAGGATTCTTTGATGAATATGAAGTTCAAAAGTACAGCATTGTTTTGTTATATAACCATACAAATATTTTAATTGACGCTTTTGTGTAGTTTTATGCATCCATGCTTAGTAAAAATATTAAAACTTGGTGACCGTAACCTTTTAAAATGAATAATTACCAAACCAAATTTCATTTAAAGCTAGCACAAGCACACTTCACAAACAAAACATTTAACATATAGTAAGTTTGTTAGGTTTGAAATGAACCGAACGTGCTCATAATTGTGAAAAACTGGTATTAACCTTCTTGATTGGTTGTGATTATTCCTCAGGAAGGTGTAAACTGTTTGATGGAGCTGGTTCTACACGACATGCTAGACTGCCTTCAGCTACCTACCTATAAGAATCATGGTTTAGTTTTTTTATGTGACGACCTGAAAAAGACTTGTGAACAAGGAAAAGAGAAACTTCGCCGAATTCCAGCACACCATCCTTCTTTCCTGAACCTGATTTTAAATTGGTTCTCAATGTGTAAATATTTAATTTTGCAGTTCTTTTCTGCCAGAAAACATGAGGAGTCAGGATTATATGTTTTGTTTTTGACAGTTTACCAGTGAGGTGGGTGAGGACTTCTTTTATGGATGTGCAAACAGCTTCTTTTGTAAAGGTAATGCGAGCACAGAAAGAAAACGAGACATCTCTTTTGTAACAGCGACTCTTCATCCCAGGCTCGAGCTGTGTATTGTTGCATGACGGATCATATGAAATTGCTCGGCGTGACATTCTCTCACACGTCTTCACTCTCTCTACTAGCTTGACTTTGACACCGTCCAGAACTGACTAACGTGTAACATATTTATATATGCCCTCCCGTTTCTCCTTCCTGTTGCTGTCCCATCCCTTCTTTAGCGCGATGTCTGTGCCTTGTTTTCACTGTCTGTAGATCATAGGGCTGTTCTTATTCACGCTATCAAATGAAAAGTGTTGAGCACATTTTAAGAGCTAAATGAAACTTGGACCACAGTCTAAATATCGAAATACCATAAAAGATTTCGTTGGAAATAAAAGTTGATATGTAAGATAGACCTGTGCTCCTTGTCTTTTTTTTTTTTTTTTTCGTCTCTTGATGCAGCAAATTAGTTTTTGCCGAACTTGATTTTCATGCCAGGTTATGTTTTTTGTCTTTTTTTTTCTCCATGCTATTGTAGTTCATATTCATAATATTTCTGCTGTCTGTTCTTGACCACATGATGGCGCTAGAGGAACATTTTGTGTAAAAAATGAACTCAAAATGACTGGCAATCCAGCTGTGTAAACTAGTCTTATTAAATACATTCAAAAACCAAACAACACTCGGGCAAATATTAGCTTAGATAATATTATTAAAAATGATACAGTGATGGTAATATCAGGTTACGGAGTAAATTCCATATTTGAATCCCATAGGACCCTAAAGTACTTAAAATAATACCATGATAATTTGTACGTCAAATAAAATAAAATGCATTACCATAGTGCTTTTTGATATTTTTTGTTAGTGTTTTCATGTGTGATTTCATTTGATTCTGATACCATACTTTTTTGTTATAAAATAACAGAATTAGACACATTTGATATTTTTGTATTTATAATTTGTTTAATTTTATAATGTTATAATTATCTTGTTCATTTAGATTTAGTTATAAATGAACAAGTTCATCTCTAGTCCATCACACTTGCAGTTCTCTCAGGTGCGAAGCGCTCGTTCTTCGCTCACGTTTCACTTCTCGCTCTATGATTGGCTGGCAGTCGGACGGCTGTCGCTGATTGGTTGAGAAGGTCCTGACTGGCTCAAAAGCGCTCAGGCCGAACGCGCATTGACTGACCGCACGAGCAGGAGACGCGTCTGCTGCAGGAGCGTCTGTGTTCTTCTGGACTAATTTATAACTCTTGGATATTTTTTGTGAACGGGTGGTGAGTTTCTCAAACGCCCTTAGGTTGCATATACACGCAGCTGTGCATTATTTAAATAAAATATGCCACATCTCTCTTTTTTTTCAGGGGTAACGGGAAACAATACAAAGTGGACTGACTCAGCAAACGAAAAATAAACATGGTAAGGGTTTTACTTGGCTTGTTTTTTTCTTGTTCGATTTTATTGTCTGAAAAGATGATATTATTTGTAACAAGGGTTGCGTCTTTATTCTAAGTCATGCAATTTAGCAAAGAACACACATATTGAATAAAGTTAAGTATAGACTGAATAGAAAAATCTCGACTAACTAGCATATCTAATTTTCTATTTTATTAACAGTAACTTGGGTTGGCTAAATGTCATCAGCATGTTGTTTTGAGTTATGGACTAGTGACACAAATGGTCAATTCACTTCTGTCTCGGAGAGGACAATTTGCAGCAACTCTTGCAAAAGAAAATGTACCCTGGTAACCACAGTGTGGTTTTGGGACTAAAATATAATACAATAATAAAATAAAAAAAATTCTGAACGTAGATCCCATGTTAAGTTGATATGATTTTACAGTAATAATAACGATGTTAGTTCCACTAGAATGTCAGTTTAGAGTCTCAAAAGCTGTATCTGGCATCTTGAATTCATTTGTTCATATGCCGCATTAATAGTCGTCCTATAGTTTTAACTTAAAATATTAATGTGACACATGCACTGGCACATTATGTGCTCATAAACCATCTTAAACCGTAATCTGGGTTTTGAAATAAAATGTAAATTTTCAGCAATGATGGAGGTTAACCACTACCCAACTCTATGCATTTTTCATGGCCTCTGGCAACCGCTGGCTTTTCTCTCACACACACACACACACACACACATGTTGGTTTTTATGGTTTATGGGGACTCTCCATAGGCGTAATGGTTTTTATACTGTACAGACCGTATATTCTATTGCCCTACACCAAACCTACCCCTCACAGGAAACTTTCTGCATTTTTAGATTTTCAAAAAAACTCATTCTGAATTATTTATAAGCCTTTTGAATTACGGGGACACTGAAAATGTCCTCATAAATCACCTTCTCTTTGTAGTACCTATGTCATACCCATGTTATTATACAAATTTGTGTCCTCAAAAACCACATAAACATGCACACACACACACACACACACACACACTTGCAGCTTAAAGTCAAATGGCTAAGTTCTCACAGCTGTGATAACATCATGGAGTGGTCACTGGTCCTATAGCTCTGCTTCAACCCGTCTGTACACATACATGGGTGTTTTTTCTGCTTTTCAAAAGCATTCCCAAAAAATTCCAAATGCTTTATGGCTACAGCAGAGCTGGAAGTGAAAGTAAAGTAAATCACTTGAGAGAAGCTGGATGTTATCGCTGGAAAACAGGGACTTTCTGGTTGTTAAGAGGTGTGGAACTTGGATCGTCTTTTGATATTGCCAAGCCTGGTCAAGAGGAATTGTTTTTTTCCTTCTTTTTCCCCCCCTCTCTCATAGAATTAAGGACAGTGCAAGCCATTCTGGAGTGTTATTATAGTTAACTCTTCCTAAAAACATTGTAAATAAATAATTTTACTTAAAATAAATGTTAACTGAAATAAAAATGATTTTTTTCCAGCTTGTTGCCAAGGCAACTTCTCATTTTCATTTAGCTAATAACTAAATATTATAATATAAAAATATTATAACTAAAAGTAAAATAAAATAATACAAACTTTACACACATTCATTTAAAAAAATAAAAATGACAAACAAAATGTATTAAAACTTTAAAATTAAAAATGAAAACAGAAAATACAAAAATAAACTATTTCAAAAAACGAATAGTATCTAAATGATACTAAAGTAGCACTGGTTTAAAGTAGAAATGTACATCTGTTTTTAATTATTATTTTTATTTTATTTCTGCATCATTTTAATATATTTTTTTATTATTTCATATTTTATTTATAATATTGTTTTTAATCAAAGCAATGGCACTAGCCTACAGTTCTGATCAATATCTGACATCTGATGCAATTCCCAATTATAAGTGCATTACTGTAAATATGAATTTTGTTTGTACTGAACCCTCCCAAATAGACTGATGTACACAGTTAGTCTGATCCCAGTTCATTTGCTGTGAACTACAGCCAACACAGTGTAGCATTGTTCCAAAAAATGACAATTTCCTTTTTGACCACAACAATCCGTGCATTAATCATGAACTTGAGGTGGGAAAAGTGTGGCCTCTCTTTCTTCCAGAAGCAGTGCAGGAAGGGACTCCTCTTGTTTCCCGTTCCCACAATCTGTGCGGATGTATCTGCATGCATCATGCTCTGACTCTTCTCCCCCGAGACTCAGCCAAATAGATTGTGTGTTTGTTTCTCTCCCACTCATCATGTTGTTGATTAATGCTGCTGGATTAAACTGTGGAAAACTCCAGACTGCTTTCATCTGAGGGGAAAATCAGTCAACTTTATGGCTTGTTTGATTGGCCTGGTCCATGGATTGTTTTCGAAGGCGACTATAGTTTCTGGACACATCAGTCTCGCAATGGATTTACAGTTTTATTTAGAACAATTTTGAGGAACAAGCTCATCTTGTCCGTATTGTGATGGCACACTGAAACAGTGCTGGGTTATTATTGATAACTAAAACCATAAAACATTTCATTGTGAAATAAACATCTTAAAAGAAAAAACAAATTTACTAAAATGAAAATGAAAGCTTAAAATAGAAACATTTAATTTAAAATATTGATAAACGTTAAAATGAAAACAGAAAATAAAATCAATTTAAAAAATATTGTCAACGCACAAAAAAAATACCAAAACAAAAATTTAAATGGAAAAAAAAGATTCAAAAATATTGTTACAAAAAAAAAATGCATCTACATCTAGTTCCCTTATAGATGATGTAGACTGATGTTTGTGTAGTCAAGGCACTAACCTTTTTTTTTTTTCTCTCTCTTTTTCCTTTCTTTCCCCAGCTGTGTGTTCGCAGTTCAGGCGACTGTTTCCGGGACCAGATGCGCTACATGATGAGGTCTCTGCAGGATCTGAAGCAGATACGTGAACCCACCGACCAATCAAAGTGCTCATATGCGACTCGAGCATGTCAAAAAAGGGCACAACAGCGGGAGCAGCTCAGCCGCCTGCGGAATTCTGACGTCAGTGACGCCAGCACCTACGATTCGACCTGCTGCCTGGCCAGTCCGCTGGAGGAAGAGGAGGATGAGGAGGCCAGTGTTGACCGCCTACCTCAAGGCTCCCCGAGCAGCGTGAAAAGTCTGGACTTTGATTCGGGGTACTCTGAAGCATCGTGGCAGGAAGAGGGTGTGGTGTTGAGGCGTACGAGGAATGTACGTGTTTCATCGTCTGCGTGCGTCCGCACCAACCGAATCCGACCCAAATCCACATCAGACGCATGCCTGGAGCGCTGGACATCATTTGAGGCCAGCGACCCAACGGACTGGACCACGTCTTTGTTAACCCGAGGGCGTAACAGGCAACCATTGGTTCTTGGGGACAACAGTTTTGCAGATCTTATTAAGAACTGGATGGATCTTCCAGAATGCCCAGATTCTGCAGAACTCAAGCCGAACGCCAGCCGCAAAATAGCCAAGGACTTTCTGGTCAACATGCGACGGAAATTAGCGGGCATGTCAAAGGGAGTTGAGGAGAGAAAGGCTTGCACTAAACGCATGTCTTGTCCTGTGGGATTTCAAGCACCCAAACCGTTCTTTCACCAGTCCCACACAAGTTTGCACCAATTGGGACCAGACTTTTACCAGTTCAGCGCTGTCATGACGACAGGGAGTCGACAGCCTATTATATGCAATGACATCATTAGATACATCTGACGTTTATGAAAACGGACTGGAGTTTATTTCTGAAAACATCTCATATTGATCTATGTATTAATAAATGTTGTAATAAATGTTTTTATATAAAAGAAACTCTTCTGCGTTTTTCTAAAAGCCAACGTGTCATGTTCCAAAACATTTGATGGCAGTGAGGATTTGACAATATGAAAGTGCTATTAAAGCATTAATAAGCTGAGTCAGGTTTTATACCATATAGTTTTCACTAGCTTAAATCAAAAATCTCAAAATCTGCTTTTATAAATCGGTTTCTACTGAAATACAAGACATCAATTTTCAATACATTTATTAAAGAATCAGAATAAGTCTTACAGTTCATAATCCCCCAATTATTTTCAATGCTAACCCAGCATTCAATTTGTTTAGCTCTCATAAATTTGACGTTCTACATTCAATTGCAGTCAAATGACTCGGGCCTTTTCATGTGTATACCAATTTAAATTTCTTAAGAGCTGTGCAATAGTTTATCGTTTCAACACGACACCGAATAGCTCATATACTGTGCAAATATTATCCTTCATTTCAGAGGCAGCAGCTGAGTGACTAAAATATGGAATGCACTCTCTAAAATAAGACTTTACTGATAATGATATGTGATGTAGACAGATACAGTATTTTTTTTATACTCATATTTTATATGCTGCAGAATTGAAGGCTTATAACCAGAATACAATAGCAAGAAAAAGAGCCAGCTGTCAAGTCTTTTTGTGAAAGACCCACTGCTGTAATGTGATTAGGACTGAACGCACACAGATGCATCTAAAGGTGATTACACTAATTAACTGAAGCAGACAGCTCATTGGGGTCTCTGGCTCTGCTCTGGAAGTGCTTTCATTCATGGTAATGGTGAGGTGAGGGGTGGGTGGTCATGACTGCATAACAAAGGGATGATACATGATGATACAGGAGACACGTTTAAAAGAAACAACAGAAAGATATTTCACTTACAGACTGTAAAATAATGAGATTCTTTACAAAAAAACATTCCAGTTCAAGCTTTGCACTGCAAAATATCATAATCGTAATCCATATTTGTCTTGTTTTCTTGATAGCAAGATACATTTACTTGAGACTTTTTCAATGGTGGTAACACGTTAACATTAGTTACTACATTAGTTAACATGAACTAAGAATTAAAAATACTTGGTAACACTTTATTTTAAGGTGTCCTTGATACACCTTACATGTACTTACTATTATAAAAACAATTAATTATGCATAATTACACGCAAGTAACCCTAAGCCAAACCCTAACCATATAGTAAGTACATGTAATTAATTAATATTACTCAGTACTTATATGTATAATTACACTGTAACAAGGACACCTTAAAATAAAATGTAACCAAATACTTCTATAGTGTTAATGTTAATTTCAACATTTACTAATGCATTTTTAAAATCAAGTTGTGTGAACAATGAACAACTATTTTTATTAACATTAACAAAGATGAATGCATTTAAATATATTTACATATTTTTAAATAATTTCTTTATAAGTATAAATTCGAAAAGTTGTAAATAAAATGATTGAAGTACGTTTTTCTACTTACAAATTATATTTAATTCAATGTTTTACTTGCTGGTTCTTTGTAATTATATGTGAAATTTACTAGCAATTTCTGATTGAATTTTTTTTTCCAGTGTAGTTAATACATTAACTAATGTTAACAAAAGAGACCTTTTTGTAAAGTGTTACTAGAATGGTATACAATATTATAGTTTTTGTTTAGTTTTATAGGCAATATTTTTATTTGTTTTAAAGGGGTCATATGATGCGATTTCAAGTTTTCCTTTCTCTTTGGAGTGTTACAAGCTCTTGGTTCATAAAGAAGATCTGTAAAGTTGCAAACACTAAAGTCTCAAATCCAAAGAGATATTCTTTATAAAAGTTAAGAGTCAACCACGCCCTCCTAAAACGGCTCGTTCTAACACGCCCCCACATATCTACGTCACTATGTGGGAAGATTTGCATAACGCCGCCCAATATTCTTTGCGTGTTTCAAAACACTGTTTGTTTTGTTATTAGTTTAAGTATTTGCTATTGACTGTTTAAATGCGGAGTTTTGCGCAGCGCAGAGTAACGCGTTGTGTGTGTGTGTGTGTGTGTGTGTGTGTGTGAGGGGAACAGGGTCACATCACAGGAGAGTGAACTGTCTGTCAGAAATCATAGCACGTCAGCTGTCTTAACCGCAGCTTGTGTACTGCATCATCACTGTGTCTGTCACGCGACTCTGTTGCCCTTTCGGGCTTGAACTGATGGTAAAACTAACGACATTATTAACTGTCTTGATATTTACTTTGAAACTCACGCTCGCGATTATGGTAAGGGGCGTTACATTTCCAACGCGTGCTTGTGGTGTTCGGCCAATCACAATGCACTGGGTCAGCTGGCCAATCAGAGCAGACTGCGCTTCTCAAAGGAGGGGGCTTTGTTGAAAACGACGCGTTTGAGAGAGGCAGGGCATAGAGGACCTACAATAATGTACAGTATTTGAAAAATAATTTTTTTGAACATTAAAGCATGTCAACATATTCTGTTACACCAAATACACAAAATAATGATCTTTAAAATAGCCTCATATGACCCCTTTAATTCAACACACATGTTGTGTCCACAAACATCAGTGTGTGTTTTCATCTAGACTGTATGCATTTTTAGTTAACCAATTTCCTACTTGCACTACTGTTCAAAAGTTTGGTATCAGTAAGACTTTTTTATTTTATTTAAGAACTTAATACTTTTATTAAGCAAGGATGCATTAAAATGGTCAAGAAAAGAATCTTGAAAAGAATGCAACATGGTTTCCACCAAAGTACTACAAATGTTAAATTAATACATGTTTTACTTGAGCAGAAAATCTGCATATTAGGCTGGTTTCTGAAGGATCATGTGACACTAAAGACTGGAGAAATGATGCTAAAAAAATTCGGCTTTGCATCACAGGAATAAATGACATTTGAATGTATATTGAAATAGAAAATAAGCTATTTTAAATTGCAATAATATTTCACAATATTACTGTATTTTTAATAAAAATGAATGCAGACTTAAGCATAAGAGACTTCTTTCAAAAACATAAAAAAATCTTATCAACCCCAAACTTTTGAATGCTAGCTAGTGCATGTATTTCTGTGGCACTGAAAAATCAGTTCTGGTTCCAAAGAAAAGACAAAGAAGATAAAAAAAAAAACTGGTATGAGACTGAGTGTGAATGGTATCTGATGTCTTTTAAGTGTCTGATGCTGACAGCGTGTGTGCTTAACCTGAATCTGTTTCAGCAGTTCCTCCAAAGTCATTTCCTTTTGACCCTCACGCCGGCCCTGCACCAGGAAGTCGTCCCAGAGAGCGTACCGCCGCCCCGCGACCTGCCGACAGACACGGCACACTGGTTCTAAAACACATGCTTAAAAAACATTCACACTCTCAGATTGAGGGTACATACGCTAGTTCTCCCATGCATACTACCTCCAGTTCACTAAGTTGACTGAGTCTGCATGAACTACATGGATGTGGCATTAACAGCTGACATAGATTTTGTTAACCCTGCTGACACATTTGCAGCTCATGTCTTGGACCTCAAACACAGTCCAGGTCAGAGGTTATGTAGGACATATAATACCAGAGACAAGATAAACAGAAAACAACAAATGGGAAAGAAACACATTTATTATTTTGTCTGATTTCCTTCTAAATTTGGCATTAAGATATAAGGTCTTTCCTCACTGAAGAAGCTTGACAAAAAAAATTAACCGACTTGCTTAAAAAGACTAATATTAAATCCTGAGGCAGAGTTCATACATTACAGTAAATTTAGTTTGAATTATTCTGTGTACCACAAAACTGGTTTAGAAAACATTTCACTTAAAAAATTGGTAGTAAATTTCACAAATAATAAAAAAAAAAAAACAGCAAGTCACATTTTGAATTAAACACTGAAATGGTATTTGCTAGTAAAACATACTCCAATAAAAAAATATTTTTACAGTGTATACTGGTAAAAATATTACAAACATCTAATTTACAACCATTTGTCTGCAGCTTATAAATTATGAATGATATATTCAAAAACATTTTTCATCTGTGCAAAAAGTTTGCCTGAGGTGCAGTGCATGAAAATGTAAGGTTTTTGACTGCTCTGGAAAGAGGAAGTTCAGTCCTGCTGAATAAAACAGATCCATGTCTTGACTTGATCTTGCTGACAACATTTCGAACATCTACATCACTGCATGTAGATGTATAAACCTTCACCTAAAAATACACTGCTTTCGTGTGATCAAGCACAGCACTAAATACAGATCTCAAAACCAGGCCTCAAACTCCTCCAGGAGCAAACTTTTATAGCTCTGCACTGTATGAGCAACTAACTCATAATTGAGAACTGATAAAATCTCCAGAGATATGAAAGAGCTACCAATAAGCAATAAAATTGTCCTCTGGGTTTGTTCATTTTAACATAGACCTGAGACGCACCTGTCTGCTGTAGACATCCTAATCTGCTTTCACCTCTGCTGGACTTTGTACCTGTGTTTAAATGTAATTTATTTCACATGACCCTTCAGAAATCATTCTAATATGCTGATTTGCAGCTCAAGAAACATTTCTTATTATTATCAATGTTGAAAACTTTGTTGTTGTGCTGCTTCATATTTTTGTAAAAAAAACTGTGATAGTTCTTTGTATCAGGAATCTTTAAAAGTTATAGAAATCGAAAGTTTAAAAGAACAACATTTATTTCAAATTGAAGTCTTTCTATTAATGTCTTTACTGTTACTTTTGATCAATTTAATGTGTCCTTGAAGAATAAAAGGATTCCATTTCTTTATATATATATATATATATATATATATATATATATATATATATATATATATATATATATATATATACAGTGAAAATGGAAATTAATTATAAAAAAATCATACAATGTTATTTTCTGGATTTTTTGATTCGGTCTCTCACAGTTGAGGTGTACCTACGATGAAAATTACAGATCTCTCCATTCTTTGTAAGTGGGAAAACTTGAAA